GACTACGGGGACGAGTTTTGTAAGTACATGTATATGTAATTAATTCATTCGGACACGCAAAGTTTATCTCGTGTTAATAACTCTATAACCAGTCCGGTATTGTTCCAACGTGGTATTTGTCAGGGCTGTTCTCTGTCTGGGCAGCTATACACGCTGGCCATTGAACCACTTTTACACAAAATAAGGACTGAAAGTGAAATACATGGGGATTATTTGCATAACAATAATCACAAACCTGCTAATCTATCTGCTTATGCAGACGACATTAGTTTCTTTTTAACTCAAAACAGTGATTTTAACAAACTTGAACATTGGTTACGTGTGTACGAGTCTGCCAGCAATTCTCGTATAAACTATGGCAAGTCAAAAGGATTGTGGGTAGGCAAGTGGAAGGAAAGAACTGACAATCCACTAAATATAGGTGGAATAATCGAGGGCTTAAAGTTCTTGGTACCTATCTAGGTAATAGCGCCACTTTTGTCGCTCAAAACTGGGACGGTGTTATAGGAAACGTTGAAGCCAAGTTGGGTTGGTGGTCACGCTACGCCCCTGCTATGATCTATAGAGGGCGCACTATAGTAATAAACCAACTAATTGCGTCAAAACTACTTCACTTTTGCATGTGCACGAGTCCACCCAAACAGATTATTACTACTCTACAGAATGGCAAGGACGTCACTGGGTCCCTGCTGAGACAGTTTATCTACCAACAGCTGATGGCGGCCACGGCCTGATATATTTGCCCACTCGCATTGCGTCATTTCGCATTCAATATATCCAACGTTACCTTTACTCCAGTGTCAGTCATGCTTGTTTTGCTTTTACAGATTACTTTTTAAAAGAATTCAACCATTTGAACTATGATAAACAGTTATTTATTATTGACATACCAACACCTAGTGTTCACTTACCACAGTTTTACTCTGACTTACTAACAGTCTGGTCTTCCCTTCCAACAATCAGGAAAGACAGACCTACTACGCTTCACAAGGTTGCTCAAGAGCCGTTATTTTTAACCAACTCGTTATTCATCCAATTCAAAATACACCTTTGAATCTTTTACATTTTCGTGAGGCTGGCCTCACAAAGGTCGGTGACCTTTTTAATAATGGTTCATGGTCAGGCGTTGACGCCATACATAGTAAAGTAAATGTGTACTCTAGGCGGCTAGCCGGGATGGCACTCGATGTGATTCATCGGGCCATACCTATTGAGTGGAAGAGAATTATACTCAATCAAAATGTGACCGATGAGTCAACTACAACCAACCAATCGTCTGTCTGTCTGTCTGTCTGTCTGTCTGTCTGTCTGTCTGTCTGTCTGTCTGTCTGTCTGTCTGTCCGCTGAACCGTTTGACCCGATTTTTGGTGTGTGGATGCCTTGATGAGTGTGGATGGTAATTTGTTCATGAGTCGATCTGCCAAAAATTATGCAAATTAGCCCCCAAACTCTAAAATTTCTTCTATGCTACTATGACACTAAGTGGTCTACAGTGCTGATATTGATAGTGCATGTGCCTTGGGTTGTCCTCTATCAGTTTTGTTAATCTGGTGGCGAATATTTAGTCCCCGTTCGGACGTAGTCCGAAAACGGGGACTTATGTTTTGCCCTGTGTGCATCCGTGTGTGCGTCCGTGATCACCTGTATCTCGAACATGCATGGACCGATTAAGTTCAGACTTCACTCATACATCACACATTATATAGGACATATGCACATGCATTTTTTTCATGATCCGATTAACGATAGCCGAATAGCGGCCATTTTAAGGCTGAAAATGCATCAAAATCACACATTTTCACCATTCCGGACCCGGATCTCAGTTATGCATGGACGGATTTTGTTCAAATTTGGTACATACATTAAACATAATAGAACCTTGATGCACGTCATTTTTTTTTTTGGATCGGGTTTGAAATGGCCGACTGGCGG